ACGGGATGGCGCTGTCCCCCGAGCGCTGCACACGATCAAACCGTGCCCAGAGTACTGGCCGTCAAAGTGCTCACGCGCTTGACACAGGCCAGCGGCAGCTGGGACTCGCGTGTCCTCTAGTCCGAGTTAACGCCGACCTTGTTTACGGGCCCCGCGGAGGCGTCGCCAGAACACGCCCCTGGCCAGCACGAGTGGACAGAAAAACTCAGGCCTCCGTGGAACTGACCAGCGAACCACCTCAGCGCAGCCCACGCCTTCCGCGGCGGGACTCGCACCTCCCCGCCCCCCGGCCCCGCGCTCGCGCCGCCACTTTCTCTCCACACACGCACGGAGACACACTCGCCCACTCGCGCTCTGTGCCGGCCCGCTCGCTCCGCGCTCCCTCTTTCTCTTTCACTTCGGTCTGCCCTGCCACCTTTTAAAATGTTGCCCCTTCCCTGTGATTCGCCAGACGCCGCGCCGCGGCCCCCCGCGCGCTCGCCCGCTCGCGCCCTCGCCCGCTTTTTGTCTCCGGCGCTTGCGCTCCCCACCTCCGATTTGCTACACTAAGCTCCGGCCCAGGGACTGCACTGAGAGCCGGCTCCGGCGCGAGTGGCCGCTGCGCTTCACGCTCGATTTCCAGGCATTCTTCCCTGATTAAGTATTCGTGTCATATTAATAGTCATGAATATCTGCTATTAGGAGCTCCAGGAACGCTGCCCAGCGCGGTGCTGACCAGCTCGAGCGAAGCCGCCGCTAAGGAAAGAGGGGAGACACGGATGAAGGGACACGCACACGCACACACACTTTTCTTCTCTCTCCGTTTTCGGGGTTTTCCGCTTTTAAAGGACCTTTGAAAGCTCACTGATCACGCGGGATAGAGACCGCGGCTGCAGGCGCCGCTCGCATCGGCGCTTCAAGTTCGGATGGACCAGAGCGGGGCTCCCGCGCGCGGGGCAGCGGCGGCGCCGTGACCGGAGTCCTGGGTGGCGCGGGGCGCGCGGCCCCTTTTGTGCGGGGCGCGCTCGGGCGGCGGGGCGCCGGGGCTCTGCGGGCTTGCTTGGTTTTTTCCACCCTGACTCGTTACCCCAGACTCTTCGCAGATGTTAGTTCACAGTTTTTCAGCTATGGTGAGTCCCATCCACGCCCCTCCCTTTCCCGCAGCAATTCTGTCCTGGAGACCCGGGCGCGGGGCTCCCGAGCCCGCGGGGTACGAGCCCAGTCTTCCCCCGAGACCCCCCCTTCACTAGCATCTCCCTCGTCCCCGGATCCTCTCACTCTTTCCATTCTTCGATCTGCTGCTTCGCCCCCGGCCCCGCCCGATCTCCTTCGCCGCCGTATCCCGGGCGAGTTTCTCGGGCCCCCCCCACCCCCTTCTTTTCTCGCGCCTTATCCTTGCGGGGAGATGCCTCCACCTCGGCAGCGTAATAATCCGCGCGCAGAACCCGCGGCTGGCTGGCTGGCTGGCGCGCCTTCCCCTCGCCCGCGGCCGGACCGCGGTCACTTTCCCTGGGATCCACCCGATCGCTTGTTTTGCAAGCGGATAGCAATAGAGGGACAGACAGGCAGGCGTCTCTTGTGCCCTTTGGAGCCGGGATGGAAGGGGCGGCGCCCTGGGGTGCAGCTCTCCCTTTTAAGCCCTTTAAGGGTGAATTTTCTATTCCCATCTGGCCCGGGTGGCCTCCGTGGTCCCTCGGTTTCGTCCATGCACCCTGTCGAGAAAAAGGCCCCTAACTATGGAAACGGAGAAGGCAGATCGCATCTCTGGCTAAAGCCTCCTTTAAGCCGGCGGTTTAAACGGGCTTCCTGGCCGCGCCTCTGAAACCCGCAGCCAGTGTTCCAGGACTCAGCTTCTCTGCTGCAAATGAACCGAGCGGGGTGCATAAGAACGCCGTGGCCCGGAGCTCCAGGGCGCATGGGGAAGGAAAGCCGCCGCTGATGCTCAGCATTTAGGAGGCGTTTGAATTTTGCGCGAGGGAGGTCGCCCTCGGCGGCCGGGCTGCGTTCCGGGAGGCCCTCGCGCTAACCCCCTTGCAAAGAAAGGCTCAGGCCGAGCGTCTTAGGCCCGGCCGCTCGCGCCACCCTTTACCCTGCGTTTGGGGCGCGCCCGCGCCACTTTGGGGGTGCTTTCGGACCGTAGCAACTTGATTGAGCCCGTTCCCTTCGGAGGCCTGTGGATGCGGACGGGCAGTCTCCGAGCGACCCGCGGGGCCGACGGCGGCGGACAGCGGCGCCTGACCGCTCCGTGCTTCTCCCTCGCTCTTTTCCAGGACCGTCACGACGGCACCAGCAACGGGACGGCGCGGTTGCCCCAGCTGGGCACTGTAGGTCAATCTCCCTACACGAGCGCCCCGCCGCTGTCCCACACCCCCAATGCCGACTTCCAGCCCCCCTACTTCCCCCCGCCCTACCAGCCTATCTACCCCCAGTCACAAGATCCTTACTCCCACGTCAACGACCCCTACAGCCTGAACCCCCTGCACGCGCAGCCGCAGCCGCAGCACCCGGGCTGGCCCGGCCAGAGGCAAAGCCAAGAGTCTGGGCTCCTGCACCCGCACCGGGGGCTGCCGCACCAGCTGTCGGGCCTGGACCCCCGCAGGGACTACCGGCGGCACGAAGACCTCCTGCACGGCCCGCACGGGCTCGGCTCGGGACTCGGGGACCTCCCGATCCACTCCTTACCTCACGCCATCGAGGACGTCCCGGTAAGGGCCGCACGCACGCGGGAAACCCCCAGCCCGCCCAGAGGGGGCCCCCGGGCCCCAGCCCTGGCCCCGGGGTCCGCCCTGGCATTTCCTGCCTCCGAATTTCTTTCGATTTGGGGGTGTGTGGGGGGAGGACGCTCTGGGAACCCACAGCGTGAACCCAATTAAGACGCCAGAAAGTAGTTAAGGGTTCGCCCATGGAACAAAGGGTCCCTGCGCCCCAGCAGACAATGCCCGCACCTCCGCGTCCACAGACATAGGAGCAGATCCGACGGGCGTCACCATTAATAATCGTTTCCCCGGCCACCGCGACCAACTTTCGATCGAACGGGAGAGGTTCTCATTCCGCCGTCCAGTCTGGCCAGGGGATTTCTCCCTGACGGGAAAATGGCCTCAAATTCAGCCGAGCTCATGAAATGCCTTGGCAGTTCAAAAGGAAGTGAGGAAAGACAAGCTCGGCATATTATTTGCCCCGGACTTTTTTTTAAGGGCCAGAGATTTCTGAAAGTTCGAGCAGACAGACTGAAAATGCTGCCCTCTCCCTTCCTAGGGGTGCTGAGTGGTGACCTCATAAATCATTAGCCAGGTTCCCGGTGCCTACCAGAACCTGCTGTACCCCGGATTAAATTAAATGTTTCGAGGTATTGGGTAATACCTTCTTTGAGTTCTAATTCAGTTATCAATAACTGCAGTTTAAAATGATTTCTCAATAAGCATGGTATTAGCACACGTATTATTTACAACGCAAGCCAGGCTATTGATAATTTGAAAATACTTTCTGAAATTAAATTTAAACCAGCATCTCTATGTCAGTTCTACATATTTATGGTTTCCTCTGAAGCTTCCAGAGATGGAATTAGAACAAGCCAATGATTTCATTAAAGCTGGAAAGGGCCTATTAATGCTGCTTTTCTTGAGAGAGGAAATGTATCTGGATGTGATTTTTGCTAAAATGCTATTTCAAATTACTGCATCAAATATTGCAGCAATATGTCCTTTGACAGTTTAATGATGACTGCATTAGATTGCAAAGAAAATGGTCAGATGAACTTACCTGCTTGCTTGGTGAATTTAAAGCATTATTTAAGTTACACGGGGAAATAGAAAATTTATTACAACTCTCATCTGACCCAGTTAATCACTGAAATTTGTTGGCCGTTTCCTACCTTGCACGGACCGGAGGGAGGGAAGCGAGTGTGAGCTTTGTGAGCATGCCTGTGTGTCCATACCTGCTTCCAGAAACCCATGCTAAAAAACATCTTTCTCGGGAAATGAAAGGACAGGGCCAAGTAGTAGAAGGGAGTGATGGAAAAACAAAACTGGAAGTTGTGCCCATTTTGGCTGCCCTTCCCCAGACTCTCTGCATCTTTTCCTGCACCCACTCCCTGGAAATACTGGGATTCCACACACCGTCTCGGCTTTGGCCACGACCGCAGAATTGCTGGACTCAGTGTAAACGTTGCAAAACGACTGGTGTGAATTCTTAACACCTATAGTGTCACTCTTTGTGGCCAAGTTAGTCTGTGGGAGAAATTAAGCAAAAGATGGAATAAAAACCCAGGAAGCCGCTGGTCGCTCCTCCCCCACCTTTTAAGCCAAAAATTCTTTCAAAGGAATTTGGGTCAGGAAAAGGGTTGTTTTCAATTTTCCCATTGCTGCAACTGTGATCCTTTAATAAGGACGAGTGCTAAATGTTTAAGAAAATCGAATCGATGGTGAAAATTATTTAATCATTAATATCACAGTGGGGTTTTAAACTTAACAGTCTTCCCTGTGTGGACAAGGTCTAGAAATAACAGGAATAAAAGGATCGCGCTACACTACATTTACTTTATGGGTTTAGGGTGCGTGCATAAAGGGATCATATTTCCCCATATAGTTAAAACACAAGAACTGCAGCAGAAGTCATTTCTGAACATTTCTCAATTTAATTATACTTAAATCCAGAAGCACTTTAGGCAAGTTACAAATGAGAGCATTGAGTATAATAAAACCTGTAATAAAGCAACTTAGTACCATCCACCCGGAATCATTGCGATCACGCGCAATTAACAGGAGCATAAATCCAAGACAGAATGGAAAATGTTGGAATCAGTATTATTGTTGGACAAAGACTAGAGAAGGAAGTAATAGTTTTTTAAATGGTAATGCCTGCGTTTGGTAACGATTCTGAAACCTTCTATCTCAGCAGCCCTGGCGCTAATTTGTAAACACAGCCAGACATTATATTGCCTGTCAGTTTCTGCATTAGAAAACATGATTTCATTTTACTTTCTAATCACGTTTTGACTCTAGCATGCATGTATACCCATCCATCTGTAAAAAGAGAGAGAGAGAGAGAGAGAGAGACAGAGAGAGAGAGAGAGAGAGAGAGAGGGAGAGAGAGGGGCTGGACAGCCCCGCAACTGCCTGAAAGGTGTTTTGCTTTTCATCATTCCCGTGTTCCTGCGGATGCCCAGTTTGGTCTTTTTGAAATCCCTCTTTCCCTTTTCAGTCAGTGAAGGTGTGTTTGTGTCTCTGCCTTGGTTGATCTGCTTGCCTGTTCCAGGGGTGCGGGCTGCAGCGGCCTCTGCCATTTCTATTGTGTTTCTCTGGCTTTTGCCGCCTGGTCCTGGAACGGCCAGAGTCGAAGCCCCTGAGGCGCCAAGCTAAAGCTCGATGCATTTTGGGGAGGCTGAGTTGCGTGAGAAAGATTAGGTGTCTCTACAACTAGATTTAATTTTCAAAGAAAGTTTTATTCCCTACCCCCCGCCTCGGGGAAACGTGGATTCTGGGCTGGAGGTGGAGGACCCGGCCTTGGCTGCTCAGCAAAAGCCCCTCCAGTTGCAAAGCCCAGTTCCAGGAGCTGGAGATGTTTCTGTGTAAATGTCATGCAGGGAGGGGCCATCCCTGTGGCCCCTCCCCTCCCCCATCCTGGGCGGAATATTCCTTTTGTTTTGATCCCACACTTACATCCCCGTGTGTACCCTTTTTGTTTCAGCATGTGGAAGACCCGGGTATTAACATCCCAGATCAAACTGTAATTAAGAAAGGTAAGCCATTTCCTCCTGCATTCCAAGCGTGTCCTTACAGGCCGGGCACTATGTAAAAGAACTTGGAAAGTTTTATTTATTTTTTTCGAATAGGATTTCCTAAAGGCTCAGAAATAGCAAATAGATGGTCACAGAACAGCTCAGCTAAAACGTTCGCTCGTAGTACCTCCGTGATGGCGACAGACTAGCTTTGTTCTGATTCTTGGTTTGACATGCAGTTCAGCAGGGGCTGGACGGACGTGAAGTATGTGCTAGTGGAACGGACTTGGAAAAGGCGTTTCGATTTGCAAATGGCTTCATAGGTTGGCTCCCCCAGTGTGAGGGGCCAGTGTTAAGAAGTGTACAGTGCTGAAATTGCAAATAATCCCGTTTTACTATGAGGGTAGATGATAAAAGCAGTCCTTAGCTGGGGAAGGGGGGGCTTTCATGTTCTCCAATTTAATTTCTCATTAGCTGTTTAAGGTTTTTAAAACTTTGTAAATTAGGTTAACAAAAATTTGGCTTTTGGTTAAAATTAGCACCTTAAAGATGTCAGAATTATCAGCATAATTGTTCTGAGCGATTGTTAGGAAAGCGTCGAGTGGCTTGGATGGCTCTGGAATTTGCGTTCTGTGGGGAGAAATAAAGTTTCCTGTGCTCACTGCTGCCCACAGCAGTTTGCTGTTTGTCGGGGTGCCTATGAGGAAGGGTTCTCCTTCCTAACCCCAATCAGTATATTGTTAGCTAGTTTAAAGTTTCACTTTTGCATCTGTGAAGTCTTTGTCACGTCAAATTAGATGTGCAAGGGATAAATCTTAAGAGATGCTCTTTCTAAGTCGACATGATAATTGGCTCTTTTATTAGTAATCTCTCAAGAGTTCGTTTAACTCCTATTGTCTCTATTAGCCTCCCCAGAGCTATTAATGTCACAAGTGATCTATCCAAAACCTTAGTGCCCCCACCTCCCCATCCGTCTACAATATCCCATTAAAGGGGGAGGAGCCGGTGATGCGGCTGTGGGCATATTACCCAGTATGTCTCCACGTGGAATTTAAATACAACTGCAAGCTCACTTAAGTGGCTGTGAAGGGTGTGTCGACACTAACCGAGCACTTTCTGTTAGTCTTGGCCATTTTTTTCCTAACAATGAGGAGCTTTCTGATTTTAACTGGGAAGCCTGCACCCCCTCCCCACCCCCGACCTCCCACGGAGACGCTTAATCCGAGAAGGGCCATTAAGTCTGCGCCCTCCGAGGCCCGCAGCGCCGGCGTCCGGCTGTCGGCGCGTCTCCTCCCGCTGCAAACGGGGCTTGGCGAGGGTTGCCGGTCTAGATACCCGGGCGAGCGAGGGGGCCGGGCGCCTCACGGAGCGCCCCGCAGGCCGCCCCGCCCATCCAGCGCCCAGTCTGCTTCCCATTGGGTACACGCGCACCCACTTCCTAACCCCTCACTCCCAAAACTCCTAGCCAAATGCACAGCTTGCTCCTGCAAAGGTGACCCCCGCCCTGCGCCCCAGATCCCGGCTACAGCGCCCCGCCCGGGTCCGCGCGCTGGGCTGCTGGGCGCTGGGAGGGACCCCAAGGCCGCAGCAGCAGCAGCCCCGGGGTCTGGGCCGGAGCAGGGTCCTGGGGCTGGAGGGCTGGGGGCCCTGGCGGGGTCGGAGGGCCCGGGGCGTTCGGCCCGACGCCCACGC